TTTTTTTATTCCTTGTTTGTGGTCGAGTCGTTGCTGCGATTCTTTGTGCAACAGGGCATTTTATTATCTCTAGACGAACCTAAGATAACCGCTCTGCACCTACCACAAGCATGGGATCTGAACATTGCACAATGCCTTGTTCAATGTCAAACTAGTTGCATGCTCACTACTACATATGTTACGTCATGCCAGACAACGCAAATAGCGGTTTTAGAAAAAGGCTTATAGAAATCAGTGTATCGATGCAAATCGCTGGTGAGCTTCATGAGGCCTTCTCATTTGTAAATCAGGAAAAGCTTTTGGCACTGAGATAACTTATGGCAAACCAAAGATTTAGACGTTTTTTTTTTGCCGTTTTGACGTTTTAGCAAAAGTGGGGTCGCGTAGAGCATATCGACGGAAGTGTACTGTCTCGGGTTGCAAGCACAGAGTTTACGCCAAAACATCTCAGCTAGTGCGACCAAAATAGCAAAAATCTGATATCAACTACTGCGACATGATAAAATCGCATAAATCAGTTCTTAGTATTGAACGAGGATTACTGAGAGGCAGCTGAGACTTCTCTTTGTTGTGTTATGTGCGTCGGCCTCCCCTCATTCTTTGCAACCCTCCCCCAATCACACATTCAATTTCTCAATCCATCGGTTACATCTCACAGCAGCAAGCTTCTCTTTCATGGTCACTTAGATGACGAGTGGTGCCCAGTTGCGCAATGCTTTTGCGAGATGAGCGGCGACACAGCCCCGTCAAGCTGACCGCCTCACATCCAGTTTTCCAACCTGCCCCACACCTGTTACAGTCCATCTTCCGTGCAAAGCACGCAGGAAAGGTTTCTTCGCTGCCAACGTGTTATTGCTGATGCATTGCGTTGATCTGAGCAGTGATATGCGCTTGTACGAAGAATCGCGACTGCTCGACCTTGGCAGAATCGGGAAGGGCTGGACAGCGCTAAAGCCTGCAGGTGACCGGCTACGCGCCAACCGCAACCGGCTCGTTGCCAGAGCGCCCTAGATCGTCTATAGCATGGACGACGGCAAAAAAATCGCGACAGGAAGGCCAGTCACTACGTCGTAATCGTGGGATAGTGAGGCATGCGCTTATGGCATTAAGACAACGCAAGAACGCTGAACTTGCCCTACATTTGCGTTTCCCTCGTAAAAGGAAAAATCGAATAGCTTAGACCACGATGCGTCATTCATGAATGCTCCAATGCCTGCAAAGCTTGTAAAAAATTTTCGTAGTCCCGGGGCACGTTGTAAATCACATGAGTTTTCAGTTCGAAATAAAAGCTGGAGATGACATGCCTCAACTGCACCGAAAAATAGGAAGTGCAGTTAGGAAGTTTTCTCCGCTTGTTAAGTATGACCCCCCCTATTTGTAAAATTTTGCTGACGTGCCTTACAATGCGATTCAATGAGTCTCATTATCATGTGTAGTATGTTATGAGGCTGGGTATATGCTGTGAACACAGCGCTTTCCATCTTTATTTATTTCTTATTCGGTGTCCTGTATGCTAGAGACTGCATGCGCGATTATCAGGCAAGTCTGCTGTGTGGCTGTTGCTATACTTGGGGAATGTTGAGTCGTGGTCATCATCTTCTTCTTTTCATGTGGTAGCGGCGGCCAGCGTTTCTACGGCGCTGACCCGCTCTTCGGCAAACTCGTTCTAGCTAGTCGCCGGCGAATATGGAGGTCCAGTTGCTGTCCTCGGCGCTTGTTACATGCAAAACTAGTTCGAGCCCCGACGACGACTGCTGCCGTCATCTTCCGATGGCTTTCAGGCGTTCATCTCGAACTCGTTTCCTCTCCTATAGTGTTGTGCTGCTACATCACACAGCCCGCCGATGGCTGGCGAGTGGGTCCCGCCCCTCAAACCTCGGACGGGGATTGACCAACACAATAGCGTAATACGACGACAGTAGCCGAATTGCACCGCGAGTGGCTCCGCCCATCTCACTAGGGCATCTCAGCTTTGGCTGCTGGACAAGATGACTGTCGCCTGTGTTGTCGGGCCATTTGTTTTATGTTACATGTGCCTTCGCTCTCCTTCTACGCACGCCAAATACTTGATGGACTTAAAAGAAAGAAGATAACGCATTGCCTCAGCACTGTCTCTCTCAGCTTACAACGATCACTTGTTGTCAGATTATTTTACTACCTCTTCAAAAGCCTGAGTAGCCTCCTATAGAACTTTGCATAACGAGCAATCCAATTAGCTGAATAAATATGTGCTACGTTATGCTTTTGTAGCGGAGACTCTCTCAGTCTTGACAAAAGGGGCTCTAATATGTCCCCTAGAGCCACTGTCTTCTACGTTTCATTGCGTCCCGATTTCTCGTGCTTAGTGAACTTAATCCGTTCGATCTGATCATCTCGCTCTGACCTGCATTTATCTGAAAATCGCGGATTTTATTCTCGAAGTTACCCTCATGATCTTGCTCTGTCTCTGAGGAACTAGTCTACTTGACTATGCTGTCTCTAGGAGAGCACTCTCCCCCTACGAACCAAAAGAAGTCCCGGAGTTAACCCCAGAGCAACAGTCTTCTTCTACCTCAAACCGCATTCTTCCTTGACAATCCTTTTATGTTCCAATTTCTGTGCTTATTGCTGAATTTATCGGTTCACCATACATATTAACTCTTTTTGGCCACACATCGGCTTGTGGTTCCAATGCCAAATGTTACACTTATCACCTTCCTTTATTGAGATTAATAAATCAGGCTCGTTCTCAGAAGTTGGCAACCACGTCGCCTAGTTTTAACAAGCTTGTAATGACTTGAATATCTTTTTGAAACCCCTCATTATTTCGCAAATTTCGAAAATCTAAGCTCATTCTCGAATTAATCGAGAGATTCAATGCCCCTCCAAGAATATCTGTTTAAAAGCACATGCTCATTATCCGCTCGTTCTGTACAAGGGGCATAGAAGTGACGGATTTGCAAATGAGACACTAGCAAGTATAACACGGTGCATTTTGTGTTTTTTCTGTATAGCTGTTGTTTTACTTTTCTATATCTTCAAGTTGTTCTTCATGCAGGTATGGAGTCCGTTTGTATGCATGTTGACCATTTCGTTCCGGGCCGAGCGAGAGAATCTAGGCTATGTAACCATCACGTTTGTCTCCGGTCGCCCTGGTGTTGGACCTCATCCTCTGTCCCACGTCCTCCTTGTCGTTCTCCTTGTAATGTCGTTTTATGTCTCTGCCTTGCTAGGTTCATATCGAGGTGTACTAACGCCATATGGGCTGAATTTTTTCATGATTCCTTGCCGGAGCACCCTCCACGAAAGCTCATAGAAGAAACCGTGGACTCCGCCTGAGTTCGCCGATATTCCCGTTACATTGCAATATCTCGTTTCGCGGGCATACAAGGGCAACACCCAATTCAGCTCGATGAAGCGCATCTTTCTAGACATGTTTGTTTGGGTACGGTAGGTGTACGGTAGGTAGCCAATCTTCGCACCCCAGTTACGTGTTCCAAGTAGCGCACTGTGTAACTTATCTTGAATAAAAACCGCAGAGAACTAGCTATTTACCGTACACCCACCGTACCTGGAAGGCATCTAATACGTAGAAGCCGCGCTTTTGTCGAGCTGCGTTAATTGGTGCCCCTGGATTCAAAACAACCTCCATCTACAACAATATACGACGATGCGACGCGAATTTAGGCGAATTCCGACGGAGTCCCTGAGTTACCAGAAGGTAACTTATTCAAAAGATTTGTTTGCAAAAATATTGCAGTAACTCCCTCTGTTTTTAGTCTTCTTGATCTGAATTACTTGTCCACATCCATTACAGTAACTCGTAAGTCAATGCTTCAGAGACACTGATGCGCTGCCGTATACATATGTACACTTACCGTTCATGTGCATGTATAATACCGCTTCTGGGCGGAGCTTGCTGTCAATACAGCTGTGATGATTTGCTCAGTGCTTTAGCAGTCACTATGCTTTACTCGGTTTGGTGATTCGGATCTAGCTCTAACGCTTCTTCTTCCTCGCTAGCAAGATTGATTTATTAGTGGGCACTTGTGTTTCATCACCTGCATCATATCTAGGTCCTCAAGATGCTGCAGCTACCGCAGCCGGGGTCATTCTCATCCTTTCCCTCGGCATTCGCAGCATTCGCCTCGCAGTTGCAGTCACCGCACTTTCAGGTAGATTTTGCTTATTTTGAATTCAAATAAACAGCGCCTTAATTTGTACAGTCGCTAATACAATCCCAAGTGGCAGTTCTGCAATCTCAGCATTTTGCCGCCTTGCAGACGACGAACTCGTCAACTTCGGAAGCGAAACCGAAGATGGTGAGGCAAGACGGTGTTGCATGCTGAATTTCTTCTATACATTTTTCAGAATTTCGACTATGCTGTACCTCGAAAACGAGTTGGGGGCTCAACAATGAAAACTGCCAAAGTGGGTGATAGACTCGGATAACTAAACCAATCATCATTTACTTGAAATAAGAGAAGATTTTGTTGGCTTAGTGAGGAATAGCAATTAAAGAAAAAATGCTGGAGTGTGTCCCAGCTTCTCGTGCCTTCCCTCAGCGGAATGTGCAATGAATTTGAAGTCTTCCTCGAATTTTTTGTTGGAAGGGAGACTTGACAAACAGGTTTTTTGGACCATATATTCTAACATCTGTTTTGATCAAAAATTCAAATGCCGCAAACCCACTCACTATCGTGGCTTGTAATAGGTCGGTAATCTGTCAGTCGTTGGAGTTGGTCTGCTGCGAAAGTGAGATGCGAGAGTTGCATAACAAGAAATTCACTTTTGTTCCTTAGCGGTCACTCTATTGTGGAATGATTCAAAGACCTGTACCACTAGGTATGTGTCTGGTACGTTCTGTAATGGTCAGAGCGAACTCTGATTTTCAATCTCAGCAGCTGGATTATTTTCTTTTGGTTCTATAAGCTAGGTATGTATATGGCGCTTGAATTGAATTCTACTAGTATTTAGTATTCTGCTATTTACATCGAGGTAATCTTCAAGCTCAACAGCAATCAACGCGCGAACTTTCACCTAATACCATTGCAATGGGAAAACGATAAATTCGCAAAGGATTGCGTTTTTTCGTGCTTAGTTTGATTTCTTGACGTTGCTAACAATCCTATAGTTAGAGGTAATGGTCTATTTCGTCTAGATGTTTTGAGGGTAAGTAGCACTAAAAGTCTTTTGCAAACTAGAGAAAGGATCTTATGATGCAGGTCTGGCGGTTTTTCGACGAATTGCCAACACCGGAGCAGGCAGCCGAGTGCCGACTGTGTCGGAAGAAAATAAAGGCCACCAACAGCAGGTTTCTTATGTTTACTATCCTTTATTATGATGAAAAAAAAATGATGCATTGAAGGTATTTCTTTTGCTGAATCCGTATATTTGTAGCCTCCGGTCACTTATATCCGTCTCAGCACAATATTTTGAATCAGACGCGGTCTTCTGCTAACATATACCTAGAGGCTACAGTAGTAGCTGTTGTGTGACGGCCCACTATGGCCTATTCTTTATTCGAAAACAAGCCATCACCTCGTTGAATATTCTTGAGCGGTCTTTTGTGCGCAGCCGAGCACAAGATTTGTGGCTAGGCTCATAAAAACAGCGAGCGAGGAGAAAACGCAAATCTCGATGGAACTTTTACTTTGGCAATTTTATTGGGATTCAAATAGTTGAGCTTTTTTTCTGGCTAAAATGGTAGGCTTTTCAGCACTACTGGGATGATACGACATCTGCGAAGTTGTCATGTACAAGAATATCAGCAAGTGCAAGAAGCACGTCAGTCGACACTCATTCTGAAAATGGGTAGGAGAATTTCAACATTTGTGTCCAAGAATCTCCTTCTCCCGCTAGATTAACTATATACACGTAATGAAGAAATCGTGATAGACGTGAACACACTATCCAAATTTTCTCTGGAGGTAAAATTGGAGAAAAATAGGCTAAAGTTACAAAACCGACACGTTTTCCGATTTTTTATTCTGTCTTTTTGATTGCTAAGACACGTGCAAGGGTATAATTACATGATTATACTCTGAAACTTTCAGGGGACCACGTATACAAGGGGTACATGCGTTTGCGTTGAAATCTCGACAATCAATTTTTCAAATCATCATAAAAAAGTTAACGATTACGGGCAAATGTTTATACTCATCACCCATTGACGGGGCACGAGTTTTGCAGAACTTTCTTGGTATGGTTTCTACTCCAAACACTACGTAGATTGCGAATTGTGGATAACTTAGAACTTATCCTGAGGGGCTTGCTTGGTCTTATCGGGTAGTGCCCCTCTCATAGCATTTTTTCCCTTCCGGCAAATACGTATGTAGGCGAATAAAAAAAAACAGCTTGACTTCAGGGCAGACATAGAACGACTAAATTTAGGACCAACGATTTCACTAAACTACATCTTTGTAGACGCTTCTTAATCGGTCGGCCACATAACATTTTTTATTGAAGTACACTAATAAGAAGGTAGATCGCACGTTGCTCTATGGCCCGGTCCACGAATGCACAAGCGGTGGAGGACCGCTTTCATGCGATTCGAAATGGTCTCGATGACCGGTTTGTCGTAGTCGTCTAACATTAGAGCGCGTCTGGCTGAACAAAGACTACACAAGCTGAGAGATGAACGCAGGCATGTAACACTTCGTGTTTTTCTTCGGGTGAAACAAGCACGAGAATGAATGTAAGCTGACAAGATCTTTGGAAACTACACTCAAGATTTTGTGGAAATAAAAGGCTTCCTGCATTAGACAAATTTGCTTTTCTCCTTGCTGTGTCGAGAAGACAGGAATTCATTTGAAATGGAGCGGAAGTGATCAAGACATAAGCGGTCTTACAAATTTCTCCTGAGCAAAGCTGTAACATAAGTTTATCACACAGTAAATATTTTTCGTTTTGTCATGAAAAATCCGGTCTTCCATGTTTTTTCCTTTTTATCGAATTATCTCTATCAAATTTCCAACTTGGATTTTTGTAGCACGGAAGTATCATGAAGGTTATAGTGATGCCAACAGATGTATCTCCCAAATGAACTTAGAAAGTTTCAGACTTTTACAGCGAAAGACGAGAAAAGTTTGACAAGGCTTAGTTCAGACTCTATAAATGATTG